AGAAGGATGCTGATAATATTTTGGACTGGGCAACAAAACAAAAACGACACTTATACTTGAAATTTCTAGGGCAAATAATAAGGAAAGAAGTCTTGGAATATTTGACCCTCACAGGACATATTGAAAGTGGGTGAGATGGATAAAACCGCCGAATAACCTAGCTAAAGATCTTATGTAAATCGTAAGCAGAACAGCATGTAGGAGAGACCGTAAAATGACAAACTTTATTGAAAGCTACAAAAGACAGGAAGTTGTGGAGGGCCATGATCGCCCACATCCTGAAGGGAAAGGGTACATATAAGAACAAGAATATTCTATAAGTGGCGGCTTTCTACGATCATAGTTCTGAAAGTTTCTACGTCTGGGTGATTGGCTTCCTATGTACCTTACATTTTAAAACATCTTAATCGACAAAATATAACGCAGGTAGTGTAATAAATAACTGATCGGAATTGAAAATCGGACAACCCAGTTCTAGTCCCAGTCGGGTTAGTCATATTTATTTAGACGCAAATCCCGTTTCGAAAGATAGGAATCCACCTCTTCTCCCTCCATCTATGGGTTACTTGTATCAGTAAATTATTATTGTCTACAAAAATGTTTTACAATGTAATAATATTTCCCGGCATTAAATAACCCGCAAAAGGTTGATAAGCCGTAAAAAACCTAAATCTATCAATCAATCCAATGAACAAGATACCGTTGTTAAAATGCTTAAAGTAGTTTTGAACAACATTGTTAGGGTTTCATTTCCTTCCACATTCCGAATCATGAGAGTAGCATTAATTCTTTAATCTTTTTTGTAACATAATTTAAAGTAATTCCTGAAATTTGCTAGAACCTCAAGAGTTGTATCTGCCATTCTAACACATGAAACAGAATGTAACTTTAAATAGCGTCCTGTCTAAGCCGATAAACTACATCTGACAGTAAGGCATCTGATCAGGAGGTTTTGAGGAGCGTGGCACCATCTTTTAGTTGCTGGGGTTCTCAGCTCTATCCTAACCCTTTTAGCACCTGTTAGGATCCCTACTATGGGTAAATAGTTAACCTCCAAACTGGGGTCAAAAACACTATAAAATAGATTTTAATACCAGCAATATATTTTGTAAAAAAATATTACCAGCAATACATTTTTGAACAGTAATATTACCAGCAATAAAAATCTTATCGGCATTAAATGACCCATTGAGGTTGATATGCCGTAGACCAAACCAAACCAAACCAAACCTAACTTTAAATAGTACTGACGAAGATGTGATATATTCAGTTGAATTATAAGTAATTTCCGTTTTGGAGAATTAATTGTCATAACGAATGTATCATTCTTACTACGTATCATAGCTGGATAGGTGAGAATAAACACTACATTACTATACGAAAGATTTAAGCGCAAAAAATTGAAAGGACAAATCTTCAGAACTATCCCCAAAAGTTGAGCTCTATGCAAGACATGTAATACTGTGCGTGTAGTGGGATCGTTGGGTTATTATTAATTTAAAATGCACTGAAACACTAAATGCACATTTATATGTCCAGCATCTGCAACGTGTCCATAAAAGTTAGATCGAAAAGCGCCACGCACCCATCAATAGGGAAAATGTTTTTTCTTGTCCATGACAAGAGAAGGATTCATACAGAAAGACGAATACAGTGGACATTATATATATATATATATATATATATATATGTGTGTGTGTGTGTGTGTGTGTGTGTGTGTGTGTGTGTGTGGACATTATATATATATATATATATATATATATATATATATATAGATAGATATAAATGTAGACATTATATATATATATATATATATAAGTGGACATTAAAGGCGACAGTCTTTTTCCTGCTAAACGCAATCGCCAGGCCATGCACATTGTATTTTTGCTCGAATATTTATATATACACGTCAGTGATTCATTGTGGGTAGTCTAACGATTGTTTTGATGGGTGGTAACGGCTGTGTTTTGAATTATTCTAGGGGCTATTGAGTGGGAATAATTATGGATCTGGATTCAGTTTTTTTGAGCTATTTACAGTGTTGTTAGTTAAATTGTAAAAAAAAATATTTTTTATTTTATTGTTTGTTGTTATTACTAAGTTCTCTTGTGTTTATCTGTGCGTACATGGTTTGCTAATTTGTTCATTCAGATTCCTAATAATTGACTTTAACCTATAAATATACTCTACCTTAATATATATATATATATATCAAAAAAGGGGTTGGATTTTTTTTTATTAATCCTACAGATTTTTATTAAATGTTATTTTTAGTGGATACTCGTATTTGAGTAGGCGTTTTATTTATTTATTAAACCGTATATTTATTTTATTTTCGTCTACCGGCTTGAATATTCGAGAATTCTTATTAGTCAAAATACAAGTATCCACTAAAAATAACGTAAATAATTATAAATAATAATAATAATAATAACAATATATATATATATATATATATATATATATATATATATATATATATATATATATATATATATATATATTCAATTAAAGAGAAAGAACAGGCAGATTAACAATCCACAGTTCTTTCGCATTTATTTTTTAAAAAGTGCTCAATACAAAGTATAGCATAATAATATAATATTATTATATTAAAATATTTTATAATCGCAACACGGAAATTTCTATGTTTCGGAACTGAAAGTTAAAATTATTGTTTCATTTTCAAGTGATTTTGAATAACTTCAGAAAAAATTGAATCATCAGATCATTCTTCTGGTTAATTTATCTACATCATATATATATATATATATATATATATATATATATATATATGGATATTGGTGGACTATCCTGTCGTATTCCTAGGAACCAACAGCCCAGACACCTGCACATATGATTTGATTATAGTGGTGAAGGCTTTGTGCAGAACTAACCACACTTTATGAAGGGCCAAATACAAACACCTGGTGCACTACGTGCCACAAGGTCCTCAAACGAACCCTCAGCATGTTTTG